GGACCGTGAATGAGAATGAACGTGGGACTTGGGCGCGGGGAAAGCACAGGCGAGCAGCATAGAGTACGGTTTGCGTTGAAGGAATACGTAAGAAGGGAGTGAGAAGAGGGGCGCCTGGCAAGACGGTGAGCCTTCTGGGAAGGAGGATGCTCGAGGAAGGCAGTGGGTGAAGAAGGGAGAAAGCCAGGGAGGAAGCAAGGCGAAAGCTGAGTCCACAGAGGGTAGCAATGGAAACCCCTTCAGGTGTGGCCTCCCAGGGGCAGGAGGGCTGGTCGGGAGAGGGCCCATGTGGCCACCCTGACCTTCCAGTCCTGCCTCTAGATCCATGGAAGCCAAGGAAGTGCCTGCTGCCCACCACTGCGCCGCAGACTCTGCCACCGGGGATGAGCCCAGAGCCCTCCCGGGCACAGAGCTTATCCCCAGGAGAGCTGTCAGTCGCTCTCCAACCTGCGCCCGCTGCCGAAACCACGGCGTCACTGCGCACCTCAAGGGCCACAAGCGCCTGTGCCTCTTTCAGACTTGCGAGTGTCACAAATGTGTCCTCATCTTGTAAGTATGAAGGAGATCCAGGGAAGGGAAGATGATGGGCCTCATCTAAAGGGAGGCTAACTTTTGACTCTCACCCCCCATTTTAGGGAGCGCCGAAGGGTCATGGCTGCCCAGGTGGCCTTGCGTAGGCAACAGGAGGCACAGCTAAAGAGGCACCTGGCTCAGGGACTCATGAGGAGAGGGGCGGCCCCTCCCAAAGCTCCTAGCCATGCCAAGAAGGGAGCCACTCGACCAGGGGTCCCCTGTGAGTGTCTGGCCAGGGATGGGGTGGAAAACAGTCCCAGACCTCCTGTTGGATTAGTGTGTGACCTTGGGCAAAGCGTTTCTACTCTCTGGGCCTCAGTCTCTCCAACTTTAAAATGTGATCATTGGGAGTATGTAGTGAGATCTGTGGATAGAAAAGGGTCACAGAGAGGGTCATGGGGAGATAAAAACTCAGTTTGCAGTTGGAGTGGGATGGGGGTCAGGAAAAAGGTCTCATCAAAACTCCCCCTGGTCCTTTATAGCTGGAAAGGAGAACATAGCACCCCAGCCTCAGACGCCCCATGGGGCAGTCCCACTGGCACTGACACCCCCTGGGAAGGTAAGGAGAACCTGGGCCGTGGTGGGGAGTGACTCCTACACTAGCCCCTGCCCAGGCCCTTTCCTCTGTGCCCTCAACACTTGGGTTCTAGATTTAGCCCTGACTTGTAATATGATCTCCGGGCAAATCACTTCTCTTCTCTGGGCAAAAAATGAGAGAGTGGGATTTTACAGCCCTCCAAGTCTAAAGTTTTGAGGTCCTGCCCCCATCCTAGAACATACTCATTCTTTCCCCAGGCTTGTACCTGAATCCAACCTGTGCTCTCTGCCCTTGCAGGATAACTCCCAGGGGCCTCTGCTGCTCAGCCGTCCCCCAGAAGCCTTGCCTTTGTCCTGGACTCCAATGCCCCCAGGCCCTTGGGCTCCTGGACACTGGCTTCCTCCAGGCCTTTCCATGCCACCCCCAGTGGTGTACCGCTTGCTATACCAAGAACCTACTGTCCCTCTGCATCCCTTTTCTGGTAAGACGAATTCAACATTCAACAGATGTTTAAATGCCATTGTACCACTGTATCAGAAAGAGAAGAGGACAGGGTAGGAAGGAAGATAGAAGCCATGACCTTTAACCCCTGTACCCTCTTGCATTCTCTTACCCTCATTAGACTTTGACCCTGGCACTTCCCTCCGGCTGCCCACTCATGGACCCCGCCCAACCTGCCCAGGATCTTGCCCGATACTGATGGCTCCTCTTTCCAGAGAATCCCAAGGGCCCTCTGCCTTGCCCCGCACGTGAGTAGGAAGGGAAGAACACGCGTTTATCATATGCCTGACCCTGTTCTGGACATCACAGCAGATGATATAGAAGATAAGGTCTTAGACCTTGTGAAGAGGAGCTCTCCTAGCGCTGCCATTGCCTTACTATGAACCTTTGTACAAGTATCTTTTTTTTTCTTTTTAATTTTTTTTTTCAACGTTTATTTATTTTTGGGACAGAGAGAGACAGAGCATGAACGGGGGAGGGGCAGAGAGAGAGGGAGACACAGAATCGGAAACAGGCTCCAGGCTCTGAGCCATCAGCCCAGAGCCTGACGCGGGGCTTGAACTCACGGACCGCGAGATCGTGACCTGGCTGAAGTCGGACGCTTAACCGACTGCGCCACCCAGGCGCCCCTGTACAAGTATCTTTACTCTCCCTGAACCTGGTTTTCTATCAGGAAGTTGGAGACACAATAATTTTCTTTGTGGGTTGTCATGAGCATTAGTGATAATGTATGGAATGCACCTAGCACAAGCCCTGGCCTTGGACAAATAGGGGCTATTAAATCCTCTTAAACAGATAAGATGGAGTCGAATTGCCCGCTGAAATGGGGGGTGGGGCATGATGATGAGAGCCTCAGAGGCCTAAGATAGAGGCCAGAGACCATTAGGGAAGGCTTCTTCAAGGGGTCCCAACCTGTTCCTCAAGTTCCATGGGGATTGGGGAGGGAAACTAGACTCTGGTAGGGCAGGAACAGTCATCCCAGTCCCTCCCAATGTTTGGTATGTTTTTAAAAACTGACATCAGTGATTTCCCATAATCGGCACAGTAGCGCTGGAGGAAAGAAGCTGGCAGATATTTTCATTTCAAAGAAAACAAAGCAGGCCAAGCCAGGGGAAAAGACTTGCCCAAGTCCACAAAGCCTAATGACCTACCAGGCACTCAGACTCTCAGATCAGCATATGCCAAAATCCTGCCCTTTCTCCCATGTGTACATGTCTGTCCATGTGTTTAATCCCCTTGGCATCTTCTCTTCTTCTTTCTAGATGCTCGACTCTGATACTCCAGCCCTGTGGCACCCCAGACCCTCTTCTGCTGCAGCCACAGGTCCTGGGACCAAAGTGGGATCCAGGACCCTGGGAGGAAGTTGAGCCAGGGGAAGGGAACATAGGGGATAGTGAAGTAACCAGGGGCTGAGAGAGCACTTGGAGGGTGGGCAGAAGTGGGGGTTCCCAGTCTGTTTCTCTCCCTTTCTTTTGCAGGCGCCTGCAGCCTCTCGCCTAGCCTGGACCTCTGCCCCCTCAGAGCGGCAGCTGCAGCGGGAGGCAGCTGAGGCTCTTGTGGGTCTGAAAGATTCTTCCCAGGCTCCCCGCCTGACCTCTTCTGTTCCTCCCAACCCTGCCTGGATCTCCCTGCTCCACCCCTGTGGCCCACCAGGTAACCTGTTCCCTGAAAGGAGACGATGGGATAGAGATATTGGGAAATGGAGGTACCAGAATTAAGTAGGGACTAACCAAGGAGATCAGAGGGGTCAGCAGGTTGAACATCTTCAGACTCAGGCCCCAAGCTTCTCAACCTAGCTTCTGGAATTGCAGTTGAGAGTTGTTCAGTGGATTAGTTTTATTAGTTTCGTGCTCAAAAGCAAATGTCCAGTGCCCTGATGTCAAAGAAAATGAGGCCCTGAGAGAGGCAGGGACTTGCCCAAGGGCATGCGGCAAGACAGTGGCAGACTTCAGCCCAAGGCTCGCTCTCTAGACCTATGCTGCCTGCTGTTGTCTCGAGAGGGCTGAGGAAGTAACAAGGGTCTGGCGTGGAAGGAGATCCGATAACTGCCTTCAAGGAGCTTCCGTTTTACTTGGGGAAACTGGATGCCTTCACAAAGCTCAGTGACAGAGCAGATGGCTCAGTTGGTAGAGCGTCTGACTCTTGATCTCGGGGTCATGAGTTCAAGCCCCATGTTGGGTATAGAGATCACTTAAATAAATAAAACTTAAAATCAGTGACAAACCTGGAAAGAACTAGAAAAATCTTGAGGAATGAGACTTACGGGGGCAGAGAGGGAAGGCTGAAGATCTTCCTGTCCAAAATGTTGAATTAGGCATGGGTACGAGTGAGGAAACCTGCATGGAAGAACTGCTGGAATGAAGAAGATGAAGCTGGAGAGACTTCTGATCATGGAGGTGTGGCATGCCAGACTTAGGCATCTAGAGCAGCCACTGTGCATGAAGGGGAGCCAGGGTATGTTTCTGAGCTAGGCAGGGACATATTTAGATACCCTGAGCTTTGAAAGACAAGTCTGGTGGCTTGATGGAGGGATTGAGAGACAAAGTGGGAAAATCGGGGAGGAGGAAGTGTTTGCTATGAGCCAGGTGAACAAGGATGAGGCCTGGATTGGGTGGGGTAGAAAGAGGGGATTGCTGGGAAAGGAAATGGATGTGACTTAGTCCCAGCCCCTTCCTTCTTGCTTATAGCTCCTGCTGGAGGAAGAGGATTCCAGCCTGTTGGCCCCTCTCTCCGCCCCAGCCCAGCCCCCTCCGTAGCTCTGCATATTGGGCATCTGGGCTCCATCTCCCTCCTAAGCTAGAAGCCCAGAGGTTGAGACCTCACTTGAGCAAGGGGCAAGAGCCTGCAGTCACTGCATATTTGGTATTTTGCCTCTGGATTTATGCATGGAATATAATATAGTGCAAGCTTCCGGCTTTTTTTTTTTTTTTTTTTAAGCTTTATTGTGCTTTGTTAGCTTTTGGTTCCTTTTGTAGTGTGGGTATTTCCTTGACTGAAAGTGGATATCCTCTTACCCACTTGGGTCCGGGGACCTTTTTAAATACCCAACAAAGTGAGAGTTATGCAATTTAAGCTAACAAGTATCTAAATAGGTTTTTGCATGAGTTCATGTTCCAGAATATTTAACATGTGATTCTGTACGTACTTGTGCACTTATGTCTGTCTCCATGCGTGCAAAAACAGGAGGGTATTTTCATTTTGTGTCTACGTTTGGGTGAGTAACCGAAAAATAAACCTTTGTTGTTTTAAGCCACTGAGACTTAGGGAGTGTTTGTTGCCAAAGCCTAACCTAATCTATTCTGATTGACATAAAGGACTTGTTCAGTTTACTTTTCAAATTGAAAATAGTTATCCAGTAACTACCATAAATAAATACAAACTTGGATTTCTTATTATGGCTCAATAAGACAGATTGGTAGAGGGAGATGGGAGATTCAGTGACTCAACAATTAAGTGTCTGCCCTGTGCCGGGCATAGATACTTTCCAGCTGTCCAGAGGGCTAAAAATTGAAATGCATACAAGGCCAAGCCCATCACTTAAATGAGTAAAGAGGGGTGCTTGGGTGGCTCAGTAAGTTAAGTGTCCAACTTCAGCTCAGGTCATGATCCATGGTTTGTGAGTTCAAGCCTCGCGTCAGGCTCTGGGCTGACAGCTCAGAGCCTGGAGCCTGCTTTGGATTCTGTGTCTCCCTCTCCCTGCCCCTCCCCCGCTCATGCAGCTTTTCTCTCTCAAAAAAAATTTTTTTTTTAATTTAAGTGAGTACAGAAAGCTAGATGAGCCCTAGAAAACAGAATACATGCCATACCAGAGAGGGCAGCCTCCTTTGGGCCTTAGTGGATTGTTGCCAGGCAGGAATGTGACTATTGCCACAATTTCTGATTCCTTAAGAGAAGCTGGAAAACTGAATTTCTATATAAAACATATTAATTTTCAAGTGTTGGCTCAGTTTTCTTCTTTAAATTCTAGGTGAGCTGAACAAAACATATCTTCAGGCCAGTTTTGGCCAAATGGAATACCTATAATGCTAACATAATGTAACATTTTTTAAATGGGGAAACTGAGGCCAATGAGAATAGGAAGAATCAAGTTAGCCTTTTTCAAGGGCTTTATCTGAACTAGGGAGATTCATGTGTCTACATTTTGAAGGACCTATGAAAGGTAAGAGAACATTGTTACCATTTATTAAGTACCCCACTGTATGTGATTCACATACATGCTCACAGCAACTCTGTAAGCCATGCATGATTACTCCCATTTTACAAATAAAGAACACGTTTATTTTTTATTTATTTTTTTTAAAGTTTATTTGGAGAGAGAGAAATAGAGCATGAGCAGGGGAGAGGCAGAGAGAGAGAGAGGGAGACAGAGAATCCCAAGCAGGCTCAGTGATGTCAGCACACAGTCTGATGCAGGGCTTGAACTCACAAACTATGAGATCATGACCTGAGCCGAAATCAAGAGTTGGACGCTTAACCAACTGAGCTACCCAGGTGCCCCAAGAACAAGTTTAAAGAGAGAAAGTAACTTGCCCAACTATTTTAGGGAAAATTTCTAGGCAAATAAAGGAGGAAGTTTCCTTCTCCTTGCCAAGCCCTAAATCAATTAGGTAATTTTTATAAAACAGAGTGAAAGATTCAGGACTCCAGCAGACAGGCATGAGCCCAAGGGTTTTTCAGAAAGTCTTTTGTTTTTCTACTCAAGGTATCCTTAGATAATAAGCAGGTCGTACCTGCATGTTCCTTTGTCCGCTGCTGTCAAGTCCTTCTCCTCGAACCATTCCACACATGAAGACCTCTTGAGCTATTCCAAAGATATGAACACCTGGAGATCCCCATCCCCGTCTCCACTCGTAGAAGCAGCAGACAGAAAGCGCAAGGGACAGGCCTGATCACTGATTCTTTTTCCTGAGGCCACTTACACTCCTCTTTTTATCCAAGATGATTGCTGGTGATGGCATTCAGTCACTGCTTGTTCTTTTGTGTCTGGAGCCTTGAAAAGATGGGCTGCTTCTACTGCCTAACATTACAGGGTAACAAATCTGCAACACTTCTCAGGACTCAACACAAGATAATCAAAGGAGGAAAGCCTGCTTCACACTTTCCTTCCCTCCCCTTGTTATAACTTAGATATATGATTGCTCCTTAATAGACCTGCCTAAGCCTTGCTGGGCCCTGCTCTCTCAAGTGACAGATGACCAAGCCCACATAGTCGTGGAGAAGGGAAGCGTTGCAACAGGAAAGATGCCTGAGACCCTGCTACTCAGGGCTGACCAAAGGTCCCAGTACACCAAGGTCACACAGCTGGGAAGAGTAAATGGGAAAGTACAATGTGGGGTTAAAGGATGACATGAGAAGGTGGGGAAAGAGAGGACTGGGCGAAGGAGCTAGGGGGAGGCCACTCTTCCCTGGCCCTTCTTATTTCTCTGCAGTCCACCTCCCCTCCCAGCCAGATCCTTAGGGCTTTTCACGCCATTGGCTAGGCCTACTTTGTCCATCACATTGTCAGGGCTTCCCCATTGGTGCCTGAGGGAGAGGGTGGAGACGCTGCAGGAGCGAGCCCCGGGGAAAAGGGCAGATTTCAGAATTGTTCCCGTTCCTCTCCGTCACTGCCTCTTTGGGTGCAGCCGTCTTCGTCTGCTGTGGTTGTAGGGAGCCAGTGGGTTCCTGGCCTGTGAGCAGCCCTTAGAGATTAGAGTCAGTGGGCTGTGAGCACTGTTCCATGTGCTGCCACTTTCCCACTTCCCATGGCAAGGCGAGGAAAGGTGCCACCCAGGTCCAATAGGGTACTGCATAATTCATCCCCCTTCTAAGCGCCTTTTGTGTACCACCCTGACGTTCTGCAGAAATAACCAATGAGGTTCCAAATCTGAGGCGCCATCCCTCTGTCCAAACAAGATTGCCCCATCCCACCAGTCACCCACGTATTACTTCAGAAGTTCATTTCACATTCTGCCTTTTGAGAATCGATGCTCCTCCCTTCACTTCAGCCCGACGTGAACCTGGTCCACACGTGACCACAGTCCTTGTTCAGTGTAGAACCGACATCTTACCACCCACCCCATCCAGTTTCTACTCAGACCCTCATTACCTGGTCCATGCGGGCCTCATTCTGCTCCCCCAGCCCCTTGTGTAGCTGGCTCTGCAGCCCCCAACGTATGTTCTCAGAAACACAGTCCTATAACCCATACCCTGCCTGGGCCCTAATGACATCCTGAGCTCTCCCCAAAAGCAAGATTCCTCCTTTTCATCTGACTTAATGTCTCCTATGAACAGATCGGGCCAAGTTCCCTACATTCCTACATCCACAGGCCTGATCACCCTGAGCTGCGTCTGGCTTTGTGCCTCTATGTCTCCCCCTCTTAGTACTCTCAGGGAGCAGTACTTATTCTCAGGAACTCTCAGGGAGTTCCTCTCTGGGAACTCAGAATAAATAACTAAATACATTCTGTCTGATTCCTTAGGAATTTTTTTTTCCTACAAAGTTGATAAACTCTAATGTTGCCTCTCCCCTCACAATATGAACAACTTCCTGTCCTCAAACCAATTTTTTTTTAACAGAGTTTTTTTTAGAACAGTTTTACGTTCACAGCAAAATTGAGCAGAATGTAAGTGTTCCTGTGGTCTCCCTGCCCCCGTACAAGCACAGCCTCCCCCACTATCACCATCCCACACCAGAGTGGTACATTTGTTAAAACTGAGGAGCCTACATTGACATGTCAGTATCACCCAAAGTCCATAGTTTACGTTATGGTTTGTTCTTGGTATTGTACACTTTACGGGTTTGGACAAATGTATAATGACCCGTATCCACCATTATAGTATCAAACAGAATTGTTTCACTGCCCTAAAATTTCTCTGTACTCCACCTATCCTTATTCCCATCGTCCTTATCCCCATCGACCCCTGGCAACCAATGATCTTTTTACTGTTTCCATAATTTTGCTTTTTTCCCCCAGAATGTTGTATAGTTGGAATCATACAGTTTGCCTTTTCAGATTGCCTTCTTTCACTTAGTAATATGAATCTAAGTTTGCTCCATGCCTTTGCATGGCCTGATAGTTCCTTTCTTTTTAGCACTGAATGGCATTCTATTGTCTGAATGCACCACAACTCTGAATCATTTTTAAATTTTCTGTCTATAGAGTTATTGAAAGAGGTTAAGCAGTCACCAGTTATGGATTCAAATCCAGTTTGGGCTTTACATTTACATGAGCTTGGCCAAACTACTTGACGCTCTCAAATCCAGTTGCCTACCAACCACCTTACAGAGTTGTTAAGGTTATGAACCTGTAAAAATTAACACCAAGGACACAGTGCTGAGAAACCATGTTATCTAAAATCATAGACTGTCAGAAAGTTTGCTCTTTGAAATCATAGCAATAGTGAGAACGGGACATCTCACTCTTGCCTGGGGGATCACTTTGACACAGAGACGTAGCCATGATTTTCACCCAGGTGCAGGGCGTCAGAGGAGGGATTTCTGGAGATAACATTGCACATTTATCTTAACCCTATAATTTCCAAACAAACAGGACCCTGTGTCTGCTTCTCAGCCAAGGTATGATGTTGACTCCATTACATAGGACCTGCTTTGCCTTGAGTCCCTCAAACCTCTGCTTAATATAAATTTTACCTACAGTTCTTCTGGAAAGCTTTTTTTAAAGAACTCTTTAGTAAATTGACTCAAGTGGACTAACCTTAAATGATTCAGCACTGATATCAGAAATGTACATCAAAAATGTATAAAAGGAGAACATAAGTTACCTAAGTATATGGACACTTATAGTTACACCTACATACAACTACGTATTCATACATATTTTGATTCGGGGTGGGGGGCATGGAATTTGAGATACTAAAACTATTCTTAAGTTTTCAAGACAGTGTAAGATAGGTTTCGACACCATTCTACCTGAATGTGAAGCTCCTAATGTAAACACAAGATGTTATCATGCTAGAAACAGGGTTTGTGTTATAGACTTAGTGCTTATGTCGCCCCTCCCCCCAATTTCCTATCTTGAAACCTAGTTTCCACTTGTGATGGTATTTGGAGGTGTGCCTTTGGAAGGTGATTCACATCATGAGGGTGGAGCCCTCATGAATGGGATTAGTGTCCTAATAAAAAATTCCCCAAAGAGCTCCCTCACTCAAGTAAGGGCATGCAAAAAATAATTGTCTATGGACCTGGAAGTGGGCCCTCACCAGACACGGGATCGCCTGGCACCTTGATTTTGGACTTTTCCCAGCCTCCAAAACTATGAGAAATAAATTTCTGTTGTTTATGAGTCACCATCCATGGTATTTTGTTATAGCAGTCTGAATCAACTAAGATATTTGGTTTTAACTTTTATTTGTTTTAACAGGTATTGGTGTAACACATTGGCTTACTAATAACTAAGGCATTTTGTGTACACAGTATATCACTGTGAAAAAAATAATATTCGCTCTGATTTTTAAACTCTGTCTTTTCAACATAAGAAAATAGCAACACGCATTTAAATGTTTCCTTTTGCAGCAAGTTAACCATTTTATCAGACAAGTGTGTCCCTCCTGTTCTTGGTCGTTGGACGTTTCAAGGATTGAACCAAATCACGCATGTAACACTACATAACGTTTACCTGTGCCTGGCACAGAGTAGACACACAAAAATTATTTGTTGATAGAATTAATGTGACAACACCATGTACAACAAAAGGCGCAAAACGCCGGGATTTTGGTGTTTCCATCTAAATTGTGTTTGCTTTTTCTTTTGTAAAAATGTTTTTATTTTTGAGACAGAGAGAGAGCATGAGCAGGGGAAGGGCAGAGAGTGACCGAGACACAGAATCTGAAGCAGGGTCCAGGCTCCGAGCGGTCAGCACAGAGCACCCACGTGGGGCTCGAACTCACGGACTGTGAGATCATGACCTGAACTGAAGTCAGGCGCTTAACCGGCTGAGCCACCCAGGCGCCCCTGTATTTTCTTTTTCTTAACTGAGAGTCTGAAGCCTTGGGCAAGTGGACTGCCTAAAGCCACACGGGTCAGTGAGGCAAGTGAGCAAAAGAAACCTAAAGTGCTGAGCGAACAGACTCAAGCACTAGGAGGCAGAGCTGCACTAACTTCTCCGAAGGTCCCGCCTCCACCTCTTTGTCCCTGCCCTGATCTCCTCCCCGCCTGTAGTTCCTCCTTCCCACTGCGGTCGCCTGGGCCGTGATGAAGCAGTTTCCGCCCTAAGAAGGGTGGTGCGGCTCCTTCTGCTCTCGCGAGGACTGGTGATCGAACACATTTCCTCTTTGCACTACCGCAGGGTTCCCCATCACAGTTCCGCCCTTACTACCCCCCACTTCCGGCCCGAAAAGCCACTTCCACCCACAAAGGGGGTCGTCCCGCGGGGGCACGGGCCGTGGCCGGGTCCCCCTTTCCTGCCCATCCAAATGCCCAACTTCCGCCGCCACAGTCTCCTCCGCCGCTGACGCAAACGAAGCCGTCCCACCCCACAGCTCAGGACGGGCGCTCGATTACACTCCGGGAGAGGAAAGGGCGGGCAGGACCCAGGCCTCCACCCCCGCCCCCTAGGCTTTCCCCTTTGCGTGCCCGCCTCCACACCACACGCCCTCCCAGCTCGAAGCCGCATTCGCCCTCAGAGGGGCGGGGCGGCTCTTCTGGCCTCGCTCTCGCGAGAGCTCGCACTTCTCGCGATACCCGACGCCCGACTTGTGCGCCCGGGAAACCCCGTTGCTCCCTTTCCCCTGGCTGGCAGCGCGGAGGCCGCACGGTAAGACGGGCGCTCCTGCTCGGGCTGGGCGCGGGGCGTCAGGGGCCCGACCCCCCAGTCGGGAGTGCGTGCCTGGGGCCCCCGGGGAGACCGTGTGGGGCCGCCCCGCCCCCTGGAGCCGCAGCCACGTGCGAGCGGCAGGCCCGGACATGCTCGGTCTGCGAGGTCCGGGGACCGAGACTGGGCCAGGCGGGCGGCGGGGATGCAAGGAGGGGGTCCCCAGAATCAGGGGCTGGGGTCATCTAGCGTCTCCACCACGGCGCCAGGCCGTGCTCGTGCGACGCGCAGAGACCGTGAGCGGCGGTGAAGTCTAGCACCCACAGGCGCCGGGGCCTTTAGGGCCCATATCTGAAGTAGGGCCTCGGGAAGGAACTGGAGAGCGGCGGCTGCGGTCGCGTGGGGGCAAGGCCCTGGCCCCTGTCAGCCGTCTCCACCAGTGCCAAGTTCACATCCTTGCTCTTTTTCTCGTAGATGCCTGGAGTTACTGTAAAAGACGTGAACCAGCAGGAGTTCGTCAGAGCTCTGGCAGCCTTCCTCAAAAAGTGAGTGTGGGGCCTCGGGCTCGGTGGATGGGGGTTGTGGTCTTTGCCTGACTCCTCCGCGGACGTTGTTTCTCTTCTCGGGTACCGGGAGGCTCGTGTAAGGTCTCCGTGTGGAGTCTGCTTTTCTGCCTGAGGCCTGGGTTTGGGTTGTGGCCGCGTTTCTGGTTTTTTTATATTCTGGGACACGTGGAGCTCCTGGTAACCTATACTTTTTGGGTTGAGCAGAGGGGATTTGGGGGCTGGAGTTTGGGGAGACTTCCTGGATCGTCACTTTCTCACCGTTGGTCCCAGGTCTGGGAAGCTGAAAGTCCCTGAATGGGTGGACACTGTCAAGCTGGCCAAGCATAAAGAGCTTGCTCCCTACGATGAGAACTGGTTCTACACACGAGCTGGTGAGGAACTGGGGCCTCTGGGTAATGGGGGGGGGGTGCGCTGGGTGACCCCTGGCACAAACCATACCTCCCTGTTCTCTCTGTGAGCTCTCCCAAGATTGCAAGAGGAGAGAAACTCTTTAAATTGTAGTTGAACTACAGTGTGAGAGAAGCACTAGGCTATCGCTACGTGCTTGTGTGATGCTCAGTAACTTCATTTTCTGAGTCTGTTTTCGTTTGTAAGCGGTTGATGTGGGCACCTGTGGCTTCCTCTGAAACTCTAGGGAAACCCAGGGTCAAGTGAATGTTCATAGTTTACTTAGAGGAAAGCGTTTACTGACTCTTCCATGTTCGTGGAGTCAAGATTCTCCCCAGTTCAGATTTCTCTCTGCCACTTAACTGTGTGGCCTCCATCTGCCTGTTCTTCTTTGTGTCCTCTCTGAAATGAGGCTAACGATTGTTAACGCAGGATTGTAGTGGGAATCAAATGAGCTTATGACAGTTAAAACCTGTACAATACTCCTGTGGCAGAGTAGTCCTTCAAGAAACGTCAGGTGTCCCGTTTTTATCGTTCAGATCCATAGGCTGGTTTTCTCCTTGTCTCTCTAGAGAGACCATTTCTTTTAAGTGGTTGGGATCTGGCCGGGTCACTCCTTGCTCTAAATCTTAGTAAGTCCCAAGTACCCAAAACAAAGCCTTATGATCACCCTGTAACCATTTGCCAGTCCCCTCTCTTATTAGTCTACCAGTGATAAGTTGGAAGGAGTGACTTCAGTGTAGTGCCCAATGGCACAGTGCTAATTTTCACCTGTCCTTGACATTTCAAGTTTCTCCCGGCTGTCACTCCATGAAGGCCTAACTTAGGGATGGAGGGGTGGTCAGTGCTAGGTTGTTCAAGGCAGCAACCTCTGCACAGGCCTTCATTAAGGACCCTCAGCTTCTGCAATCTTTTAACCTTCAATCTCTGACCTAGGGGCCCCATCCTGGCCAAAGACTGTCTCCAGACGGGAAGTAGGTGGGAAGCACGGTTTAGAAATAAAGAAAGCTTCAGGGTGACTTTGAGAAGAGTTGGCCTTGGTACCAAGTCCCTTTGGCACTTTGGAATATGATGTATTTTGTAGATTGGTGTTGCCCTTGTGCATCAGATGTCCATGAGGTCCACTCTGTTTCAGGCCCTGGACGGGCAGAGGCCAACATGACTTGGCCACAGCCTCAGACCCCTGAGGATTAAAAGGTCAACTCACAGGTGGGTAGGGTGGGTAGCATATAGCGGGGATCCCCACTGTGCTTTTAGGAAGAAAAAGGGCTGGGGAAGGGAAGCTGGCTTGATTTCCCCAGTCACACATTAGTGATGGGGCCTGGATGAGACCACCACCCCATCCACCCATCTTGGGAAGCAAGGCTGCCTGGTCCTGAATGTTCTTTGGCAACGCCCCAAGAATCAGTTGGTCAAGGCAGCTTTGGATCTAAGATGAGGAGAAAGTCTACTGGCTTTTCCTATGTGGTCAGGTAAATCTACATATTTTGTTTAATCTGCCCTGTTGAAAACTTCCCAGATAGTACTGGTGGTTTTCTGTTTTATGCTTGTTGTATTTTTGTAGATGGGGAGAGACTAATGTGAAATGAGATCGAGACCACCCTGGGCAGTACACCTAGATGAGCCTTAGACTGTTTCCTGGCCCCTTCTCTGACAACTCACACGGAATGTGCATCCTCTACCTGCCATCCTGATCTCCCTTACTCAAGGTTTCCAAGACTCCCTTTTTGACCTCATTTCCCCAGCTGCCTTAGTGGCATAGCATAGTGATTCTAGACCAAGGTCTGTTGTGCACATTTTTGTTGGGACACTGCCACGCCCATTTGTTTCCATGTACACCAGAGGCAGAGTTGCAATTGTGACGGACTGGTGGCCTCCAAAGCCAAAAATATTTATTTTGACCCTTTACTGGAGAAGTTTACCGGCGTAGAGTGCTCCCACCTAGTTGGGGTTAGCTCATACTCTGGGCAAGTCACTGGAGATACTCAATTACCAAAGAGGAAACAGGTACAGACAGGTGAAGTGACCCTAGGAGAGCATGACACACTGACTCCAAGCTTGGCAGACCCGAGTCTGTGCTGTATTTGCATTTTCTCCTTCCCTGCATTGTGATGTCAAGGAAAGACCACTGTAGGGCTTTGTGAGGGGAGGGGGTGTTGCCGTGTGGCCTTGGACAAGCCCCCTGGTTTCTTCATTGTCAGAAGGTCTTGCTTGGGAGGGAGGTGGGAATCCATTGTGTCTTGTCCAGCAGTGAGTGACTCCTGAATTGGGACATCTGAATGTCTCAAATGAAATCATTGTGGATGGGACCTGGTCTTCTCTGATCAGTGCATAGTGCTGGGCAGTCACATATGTTATTGGAAAGATCAAGGCTTGGAGACATTGCAGGAACAAGTTAAGGGGTGACAATGTCCAGATTCTTTCCTTAGAAGCTTGGCAAAGAACAGTTATTAAGACGCTGACCTGTAGGGGCACCTGGGTGGCTCAGTTGAGCATCCAACTTCAGCTCAGGTCATGTTCTCACAGTTAGTTCAGGCCCTGCATGCTGACAGTGCAGAGCCTGCCTGGGATTCTCTTTCTCTCCCTCTCTCTCTCTCTCTCTCTCTCTCTCTCTC